AAGCGTCCCTCCCTGCCCTGTAGCTCCTCTGACCCTGTCCTCCCTTGTTGAACAAAAGCTAAGCACTTACTGAGTGCCGGCATAATACAGTAACTCTCATCCTTGCCACCCCCCTCTGAGTTAAGATTGTTATTGTTATCCACCTGATTTACAAATGAAGAAACTGGAGGGGTTATGTAACTGGATGAATCCCAGGGTTTGAACCTAGGCAGTCCAACTCGAGAGTCCTGTTCTCAGCCATTGGGTAACACACATGTTCTCCTCCCTCCAGGGAAAGCCGCCGACCAAGAAAGCCAAAGTCCTGCACAAGGCAGCCTGGTCAGCCAAAATCGGAGCCTTCCTCCACTCGCAAGGGACAGGACAGCTAGCAGATGGGACGCCAACAGGGCAAGACGGTAAGACAGCAGGGCACTGGTGCTCAGGAAGCTGCTGGGGATCGGTGGGAGTGGGGTGCCCATTCTGGGGTGGCCCTGCCTAGGAGCCAGGAATGGGAAAGATGGGGCAGCTAGAGAGTGCCCTGGCCCAAGCTCACTGTGGATTGCGTCTTCCCCATCAGTAGGTAGTGTGGAAATTACCCCAGAAAATCCCTTTAGTCATTCCTAAAGTGCCAGGACCCCTACTCCTGATAATTCAGAAGCCAAGAATTAGCTTCTTTTCTCTTGTATTGCTTTTGGCCCTTTGGTTTCTGTTTCCCTTGGACAGTGAAGACCCCTCTCTGGTTTGGAAAGGGGTCGTGGGATAAGGAAAGGAACCTTTCTCTCTGAGTGTGTATAGCAGTTTCTAAACCTACAAGCATTAAGCAACTCTGCTTTAGGTGGTCTGAGTTTCTGACTGCAGTTGAACTCCACAGGCATGAGGGTTGGAGGGGCCTAGGTGTGCACCCTTCCCACCCATTCAGATAAGCTGTGGCCAATGAGAGGTTGGGGGAGGTCTAAGGAATTTAAGCCCAAAGGTCTTTGGATTTCCTTCTCTTCTCGGGGAAGAAAGATCAGACACTCCCCTTGAATGTTTCCTCCACTCCTGAGAGTCTGTCACCCTTTGGATAAGGTCCAGCCCTGTTCTGATGGCCACTGATGGGGCAGGTATGGGGCTTCCCGGGTGGGGAAGGACCTGCTTCTACAGGCTCCTGGGGGCCAGGTTCCTAGCAGGGCTGCTGACTTTCAGCTCTTCCTCTTTCTGCTCTGCAGCGCTGGTCCTGGGTTTCGACTGGGGGAAGTTCCTGAAGGATCACAGTTACAAAGCTGCTCCCGTCAGCTGTTTTAAGCACGTGAGTGCCCTGGAGATGAGGGGAGGGAGAGCTGGGAACCGGGGCGCATGCCACCGCTCTCACCCGCCAGCCTCCCAAGCATTCCAGGCTGGGCATTGGCACCCCGGAGAGAACAGTGGGGAGGTCTGGGTGGGCGCAGGCCAGCTTTGCCACTCGCTCCGGTTTACCTTTCTGTCCACCTTTCTTCAGCATCCTCCCACAAAGCCTCATCGAGGCCTTCTAGCACCGTGCATCCCTCTGAGGTCATTCTCACTCTGCTTATTTATGTAATGGAACTTTGTGCTAGAAATCCTTTTTCTTTCTTTCTTTTTTATAGAAATCCTCTTCTGTCTTCCCCATTGTTCCATGTTTTCCCCCTGAAAGCTTGTTCTGAACTGCTCTGGGCCCCCTGGTCCCTGGGAGGCAGATGGGGATCCTCCTGGAGCCCACTTCTGCACAGAGAAGCACAGAAGAGTGAGGTCCTGGGGGGCTGGGCCTGGAGTGGAAGGACGGGCAGAGATGCTGCCAGTTGTCTGGGGGCCAGGGAACCGCCTAGAGTGGTGCTCCTGTTTGGTCTTTCAAGCCAGGAAGTGGAGGAGAGGAGGCCTCTTTACTCTTGGAGCCCTCTGACCAGAGTCCCATCCTAGTAGCTGCTGAACTCTGGAGAGCGCCGTGGACGGAGGAAAGTTGGGAAGTTTGACTCTTCTCCGCATTGCTGTTGAAGGTGCACACCTTTCCTAGTGGGAAGCTCTTTTGCCCTGAGTTTTCACTGCAGGGGAGTTACATCGAGCTTGCATTCAGCATACCTAATTCCATAGGCTCTGCCACGCTGGCCCTGGTGTGGCTGGGTAGCATAACCATTTCTCGGTTCTTCTCTGGCCAGAGAGATGGAATGGGATACCCCGATGAGCTTAAGCCAGGATGAGAATGAAAAAAAGGGTTAGTTTCTCCAAAGGAGAATCAAGGTGCTGTTGGTGCAAAGTGAGGATTAGCTATAGGGAAGCCAAGCAGGAAGGGTACGCTGCTGTTGGAGAGCATCTGAAGAGAAGACCGGTTGGAGAAGTGGAGAAAGAATGTACCAGAAGTAGTATGTGAGAGCCGGCATGGTGATGGCTGAGAGACTACTACTGCCCAGGCTTGAGTGACGATTGAAAGAGGTGGTATTTGTGCCGAGGACAGTCCCTGGCACGTGGCAAGCACTAGGCGGTGTGAGGTGTAGTCGCTGGATGATGGAGTGAGGAGCTGGGGTCCTGTAAGATCAGCACTCGGGGCTGACTGACTCTGGATGTCTGGCTGTTGCACCGCCCTCCCGTCCCGTCCCCCCACCCCCACTGTCCTGCCTCAGCTCTTTGGGGACTGTGGACTCGTCTTGCTCCTCTCTTCATCCCTAGTCCCATGCCTGGCTGGCCACATGCAGCGAGTGATGTGCACTGAGGTGCAGAGAAGGACGCCAGGGCTCATGAGGCCAGCCACTCTCCCCTGTCCAATCGGGCAGCTCACTGTCCCCCTGAATGCTCTCATGCCCACACAGGTCCCACTCTATGACCAGTGGGAGGATGTGATGAAGGGGATGAAGGTGGAGGTGCTCAACAGCGACGCCGTGCTCCCCAGCCGGGTGTACTGGATCGCCTCTGTCATCCAGGCCGCAGGTGGGTAGTCCTCTGGCCAAGGCAGGGTCCAGGTTCAGAGGACCTCTCCGCACGGGTGGGCAGTATCGCGCACAGAAATTGGCTTCGTAAAACAAAAAAGCCCACCCCCTGGAGCTCTGCCAGTCCCTTCTTGGGATTCTCCTACCTTCCCTGGCTTCGAAGAGGCCACAAAGCATGACAAGTTTGTAAAGTCCCCTTTTTAAGGTTTTTTTCCAGGAATGATCAGGCTGCAGAAAATTAATTCTCCCTGCTGTGCCACACAGCTTTCCAAGTACGCGGCGTGGGTTTGTTTTGGCTGTGACTGTTGAGGACAACAGGGACCCCACTTGCCCAGAAGGAGTTCTTGGAAGAGGAGTCAGGTTTAGGCTCAAGAAGAAGGAAGGCCTGAGAATATACCTTTCCCCATCCCACCCTCCCTCACCGGTGCCCTCCTTCTTTCAGGGTACCGGGTGCTGCTTCGGTACGAAGGCTTTGAAAATGACGCCAGCCATGACTTCTGGTGCAACCTGGGGACAGTGGACGTCCACCCCATTGGCTGGTGTGCCATCAACAGCAAGATTCTGGTGCCCCCACGGAGTGAGTTGATGAGAACATTCCCTGTTGTGGTTCGTGCAGAGCCCTTGGTAGAAGGGGCACCCTTTGTCTTAGGTTAGCCCAGAGCAGAACCCACTTGCCAGCCTGCTTCCTGTCCCCTCTGGTCTCAGAAGCCCCGTGGCAGATCCAAGTTGTATAGCGGGTTTTATTAGATGTGATGGCGGCCCCGAAGAGGCAGAAATAAGTTGCTCTGGCGCCCCCTGTTGGCGGGAGCGTTGTCAGTCTGTGTAACCAGGATTCCGCTGTGTCTCCACAGCCATCCATGCCAAGTTCACCGACTGGAAGGGGTACCTCATGAAACGGTTGGTGGGCTCCAGGACACTTCCCGTGGATTTCCATATCAAGGTCTGGCACTGAGCCCTTTGGGTCTCCTAACTGATCTCCTTCCTGCCCCTCTTCCATTTTCTCTGTCCATGCTACTCACTGGAGTATTTTCTCAAAGACTCCCTTGCTTGCCAGTCTCTAGCAGCTTCACGTTTCTCCAGGAAGGATGTTGGTTGCTCTCCGCCTTCTCAGCCTAGTGTCGGCCTCCCCCACCCAACCCAGACTCTGATCCTGCCATGCTGATCACGTTGCTTTGTCTCCTGTTTGCTCCTCCAGAGCGTTACCTTTGCTCATAGCATTTTTCAGGAGCATTCGTCCCATAGATTTTATTAAGTACTTGTGTACAAGGAACTGTGGGAATACAGACCCTGTATTCAGGACCCTCCAGTCTGGCAGAGGAAACGAAGTCAAGCACAGGAATATAAAATAGACTGGGTTCTGAACCAGGGGTGTGTCTCCGAATCATCTCTGTGGCTTTTAATTTTAATTTTGTAAAATTTAGCTCCTTAACTTAAAAAATCACACACGTGGTTAAAAATTCAAAGAGAACACAAGGATACATAGTGAAGACTTCGTTTCTCCCACCTCTGTACACCAGACCCTCTGTTGTGGGCTCGCTCACATAGGGGCCTGGACAGCGTTCTGAGGTCTCCGGACCCGGATGCGCACACGTGTGGTTCCCACGTTGCCTCCGTAAGCGGCACAGCAGCGGGCAGGGGACACAGAGAGGGTGCTGTGTGGTACATGGTTGAACTGGCCCTGTGGCCTGAAGAGGAGCAGCTATCAAGGAAGGCCTCATGGAGAAAATGGCATTTGAATTCTACCTTGATGGGTAGGGTTTGGGTGGTCTGGAAGCCAAGAGTTTCGGAAAGTAAGGATGGAATAGAAGCTGGGGCCATCTCATCCAAGGCACCAGACGCCTGGTGAAGAGGTTGCCACCGTGAGTCTTAGCTGGTGGAGAGTGGGCCTATGGCAAGGAATGGTTCCAGCACCTCAAGGAAGCTTTCCCTGGCTTTTTTCCCTAAAGTAGAAATGATTTTTGCTTTAGTTGAACTTGCTGGGTACTGTCCGTTTACTCTTTATTTCTCTGTATTTTGCTAATTTATCTTTTCATACTCTTTTTTTTTTTTTTTTTTTTAAGATTTCATTTATTAGAGAGAGAGTGATAGTGAGAGAGAGCATGAGCAGTGGGGAGAGGGAGGGCAGACTCACTGCTGAGCAGGGAGCCCGATGCGGGCCCAATCCCAGGACCCTGGGATCATGACCTGAGCCGAAGGCAGACGCCCAACGACTGAGCCACCCAGGCGGCCCCATACTCTCTTTCCAACAAAACTGTAAGCTCTTTCTCCTCTTCTCATAATGCCTTGCACAGTGGACAGATTGAGCAGTTGAAAACAAGCGTTCGCTCCTCCCCTGGCACTTGTCTGAAGATGAGGTAGCTGATTGTGGCTGGGGCAGCCACTGGCGTTATCAAGCCGGCCTCTCCTCTGCTTAAATTAAAATGAGCTTGATTCCGGGGGGCTCTGTTGGTTAAGCATCCAACTGTTGATCTCAGGGTCATGAGTTCAAGCCCCACGTTGGCCTCCACGCTAGGCATGGAGCCTACTTTAAAAAAAAAAAAAAAAGAGCTTGATTCTGGTTCCATGTGAACCAGTCAGCAAGCACACAGTGACTCACTGTCATGTACCCAGTCCTGCAGCAGATACAAAAGCAGCTGCCTCTGAGGATTGGGGGTAGGGAAGGTAAAAGGGGGTGGGTTTGTGAAGGAAGCTCTAATCCAAATCCAGTCTGGTTCCTTTGATGCCTGCAATGTGGTAAGTGCTGAGTAAAATGTTGTGAATGAATGACCCACTGGCCAAGGTCAGGTGTGTACTATGTGTTTGTCAAGGAGAAAAAACGTTAACTGAGCACTAACTCTGTGCCTAGTTCTGTGGTTGGAACTGAGACGATCAAGATGAATCCTCCCAAACCTGGCTTCTACCCCTACGGAGCTCAGGTTCTGGGCGTGACTGAACAAAGAGGCCATGAAAGTGGTGGTGGGCTGTGGGCTGCCCTGGGTGGGCGTCAAAGAAAGGAGTGTGTTAGGAAAGGCTAGGAGAGGAAGGTAGCGCAGAGGGACCCCAATCCAGGCCTCACCCTGTGTCTCTCTCCTAAATGGGCCAATCAGGCAGTCGGTTTGGACTTGATTCCAGGCCTTGAGCTGATGTCTGACGCGTCTGTGGTGTAGGACTCTTATCAGCTTTGTCTGGTTGCTGCTTTGTGACCTTGGAGATGCTCCCCCTCCTGGTGGGCTTTGAAATAGCATGGCTTAGGGACGCCTGGATGGCTCAGTCTGTTAAGTGTCTGCCTTTGGCTCAGATCATGCGTGCTCTCTCTGACAAATAAAAAAAATTCTTTTAAAGATCTTATTTATTTATATGACAGAGAGAGAGACAGAGAGAGAGGGAACACAAGCAGGGGGAGTGGGAGAGGGAGAAGCAGACTCCCCACAGGGCGGGGAGCCCGATGCGAGGCTTGATCCCAGGACCCTGGGATCATGACCTGAGCCGAAGGCAGGTGCCCAAAGACTGAGCCACCCAGGCGCCCCTGACAAATGAAATCTTAAAAGAAAAAAATAGCATGGCTTAGTCCCCACCTTGGTCCCCTAGGCTGGGGCTGGTTTTCCCTGGCTGTGAAAGCCCTACAGAGCTCACTGTTTCCATTTCCCTACCCCAGGCAGGACAGCACTGAAGTCACAGTGACCTGAAAAACTCTCCTACCCCTCATCCGTGGCCTGCCATCAGGGCTCTCTAGAACAGCTTATGGGCATCTTGGTCACTGTCCCTTGCTGGGTCAGTGGATAACCGTTCCGAGTTGCAGCCCAGTGGGTTCACAGCTGTAATTAGACATACGGAGGCACCGGGGGCCTCAGCTCTCTGGACATGAGAGCTGTATGTGCCATCAGCTGGGAGGTGGAGGGGCGTGGGAAAGCGCACAAGGCTGGACACTGGGACCAGTTTCAAGGTCCAGCTCTGGCACCAGTGAATCTGGGTGAGCATAGGCAAGTCACTTGAGCCCTCTGGGGCACCTGCTTCCTTCGTCTGCAAGGGCTATTTGTACTTCCCATCATACTGAGTGACTGGTATTTTGGTGCCCACCTTGTAACCTGAGTGCTGTCCTTCCACATCATCCTGGGGAAGTGGGGGCCAGGGTCGAACCTGGTGGGATGGGAGGGCTCATCCGCCCGTTCCCTGACTCAGGGCTGGGTGCAGTAAGAGATGACACAGGGAGGGTGGGGGGAGCCCCAGGACCACAGCAGGCCTGTGCTCTGATGTTGCAGATGGTGGAGAGCATGAAGTACCCCTTCCGACAAGGCATGCGGCTGGAGGTGGTGGACAAGGCCCAGGTGTCCCGGACCCGCATGGCCGTGGTGGACACAGTAATCGGGGGTCGCCTTCGGCTCCTCTATGAGGACGGCGACAGTGATGATGACTTCTGGTGCCACATGTGGAGCCCCCTGATCCACCCAGTGGGCTGGTCACGGCGAGTCGGCCACGGCATCAAGCTGTCAGGTCTGCTGTCGGGGCCGGGGCCGGGGCGGGAGCACCTCTGCACCCCACACCACCACCGTGTGGTGGGGGTGACCACCTCCAGCATGTGCATGGTCGTACCAAGGTCCAGAGCGGTTGCATGATTTGACCAAGGTCGCTCAGTTTGTAAGGGTTTTAAACCGATTGGAACCTGGAGGTTACATGATGTGGGAAGCATCTGGATCTTATGGGTTCAGTAGTTCCTACAGAGAGCTCCTGACGTGTTCTGTCTTCTGGTCTAGGTGGGGGGCACGGGGTGCCGAGATACAGATTAGAACACATGCGGGGCAGCACCCACATTTCTGGGGAGGGGAGGGAGCTGGCCCTGTAAGCAGCCTGCAACTCCCTTCTCTCCCTTGCTCCCTCTGCCATCTCCCCAAAAGAGAGGCGCAGCGACATGGCCCACCATCCCACCTTCCGGAAAATCTACTGTGATGCTGTTCCTTACCTGTTCAAGAAGGTGAGGCGCAGCCCTCGGGCACTTCTCCTCTTGGCCACAGGCCCATTCCAGGCCTCACGACCCCGGGGTGTTCCTTTCCCTCCCCGTTTCCTTCCCAGGCCTGTGGCAGATGAGGCCAGCCACCCCCCCCCCGCCACCTGGGCCACCCAGTTTCCCCAGCTGCCCCGTTCCTTTAAGGTTCGAGCTGTCTACACGGAAGGTGGTTGGTTTGAGGAGGGGATGAAACTGGAAGCCATTGACCCCCTGAATCTGGGCAACATCTGCGTGGCAACCATCTGCAAGGTGAGCCTGGGCCTGGCCCTGCAGCTTCCAGGGTGGCTTTCGGGAGCTGGTGAGGTGGCACAGAGCCCTTCACGTCCGTCCCCCCTTCCCCACTCTGGCTGCTCTGGGAGTGCCGCACTTCTGAGAGTAGGGGTCTTACCTGCTTCTTGCCCAGAATCGGCTTTCGTGTCAGGTCCCAGGCGCGTTGGAGGGGTGCTTATTGAACACCTGGCCTGAGCCTGGTCTTGTCGGGTGTAGGCCCCGCCCTGTCAACCTCCCTGGGGGCCTTCCCACCGCCACACGTCCTCTCCTTCGAGTGGCAGCCTGGCCAGGAGCCATAGCTGTGCTGACTTCTCTGCATGCCACCTCCATTATTGCTGTGGCCTGAGCAGCAAATGACTCCACCTTGGCCCCCCTGGGGACATGCTGATTTGTGCATCCAGCCAATCTTCTCCCGGCTGGGCCTGTGTGCTCACCACCAAAAACACTGGAAAAGACAGATGTAGTCCCTGTGGGAACAGCATTTGCTGTCTAGTGAGGAAAGTAAAGAACCTCATGAGTATGGGTTCCAGCAGTGCCGAGTGCTCGGAAACAGAAGCTCAGGGAAGGCTGAGATCTAACTCCGCCTGGATCCATTTGCCTCGTGTCCCCACCATAGCCACCTCACCCTGGGATGGGGGTGCAGTTCATGATACCATGGTGTCTGCCTGCCCCCCCCCACTAGGTTCTCCTAGACGGCTACCTGATGATCTGTGTGGATGGGGGGCCCTCCACAGATGGCTCAGACTGGTTCTGTTACCATGCCTCCTCCCACGCCATCTTCCCAGCCACCTTCTGCCAAAAGAATGACATTGAGCTCACACCCCCAAAAGGTAAGACGGTCCTCATAGTCGGAAACGGCAGAGTGTACCCACAGGCCCAGATTCCTGTCCAAGCCAGACCCTGGGCCTTGGAGTCTTAGAGTGGATTGGGGAGCTATCAGAACCAGCCAAGCCACCACCACCAGCCCTTACACTGGGCTGACGTAGCTCTGTGGCTAATGGGTGTCTGCGTGAGCAGAGCTCCCACTTGTTCCTTTGGGCAGTGAACAACCTATACGACGGGACCAGGGTCCTAGAGCAGGTATCAGCCTGGGGAGGAGGAAAGAAGGCTGCTGGGGATACTCCGGGCTGGGTCCTGACCCAGCTACGGGTGCCCGTTTGGCCCGTGCTCCTCTCCCAGACTCCCTCCTGCCTTCCCTCCTTTCCCTCCACATCTATGTTTTCTGCTCCACCAGGCTACGAGGCACACACTTTCAGCTGGGACACCTACTTGGAGAAGACCAAGTCGAAAGTAGCTCCGTCGAGACTCTTTAACATGGTGAGGAGAGCGAGGAAGCACGGGGCCTGGGGTGGCCCTGCCCGCTGTCAGCGGTGTTAACTCCAACCCCCTTCTCCTTCCTTGAGTCTGCATGGTGGAGACCAGCTGCTTCAGGGGAGAAGTCCCAAACCCTGCCATAGGCATTCTGCCAAACAGTCCAGCCTGCTCCCTTTCCCGGAAGGGCTGGTGCTGGGAACAGAGGGCAGTGGGATCACTGCCAGGGGACACTTCCCCCGGGCACTCCCAGCCCACTCCCTTTCCCCAGTTTGGCCCCACTGGGGCAGGGAGCTGGCTGCCTTGGTCACTGCGTCTCCCCCCTCGCCAGGACTGCCCCAACCACGGCTTCAAGGTGGGCATGAAGCTGGAGGCTGTGGACCTGATGGAACCCCGGCTCATCTGCGTGGCCACAGTGAAGCGGGTGGTGCACAGGCTCCTCAGCATCCACTTCGATGGCTGGGACAGCGAGTATGACCAGTGGGTGGACTGTGAGTCCCCGGACATCTACCCCGTCGGCTGGTGTGAGCTCACCGGCTACCAGCTCCAGCCACCTGTGGCCGCAGGTCTGGGCTCTCGCGGCCCCAGGGGACTCTTGACTTTCCTTTTCTTTTTCCTTCTTGCCAACCACTCCCCCTGCCCCATACCTACCTCATTCTTTGGCATGAGACCCAGAAGTCTCCTGGACCACTTCTAATGAAAGAGCGGCCCTCGTGTCCCCACCTCCCACTCCTGACTTGTCTGTCTCCCTCTCCCTCTGGCCTGCAGAGCGCCTTCCTTGATCTTGCCCACTCTGTCATATGCTCGTACCCTTGTGCACCCAGGTAAACCAGCCAGGCCCCTCGGAGCAGCCCAGGTGACGAGGTGGGAAGAAGGGACAGCTGCTCCCAGTCCCTCCCCCATTCTCACTGGCCCACTTTGGCTTTCCTTCTTGGGGCGTCCCGTGTGTAAGGGAGGCTAGTGAGGTGTGGGCAAGGGGTCTCGGGGTGTGCCTATACCGTGCCCTCTTCAAGCTCTCCTCTTACCTCTGTCCCTCGTCTTTCAACAACAGAGCCGACCACACCTCTGAAGGCCAAAGAGGCCACAAAGAAGAAAAAGAAACAGTTTGGGAAGAAAAGTAAGTGATGCTCTCAAGCAGCCAGGCTGATGTGGGACTTGGGATCAGCTGGGCCTGTGTTTCTGCGAGGAGAGGGGGTCACCACGTAGGTAGCGCTCTTCATGGTCCCTCCAACTCCTCTCCTTTGCCCTTCGGCCCCAGCGGGCCTATCAGCCTGTGTCTTAAGGGACCCAAGCACAAATAGGAAGTCTTCAGTCTCTGGCAGTGGTCAGGATCCCAAGCAAAAAAGGCAAGAGATGGTATTTATAAGAGAGAAAAGGGGGAGGGATCCCCATCCCTGCTGTCCTGTGGTCACAAGTCAGCACGGCCCCATCAGCAGTGCACAACTGCTGTTTCAAAGTAAGATGTATGGGGGGTGGCAATTTCTCCTCAAGCCTGTCGTTCTTCCCTTGGGACCCTCAGGGGTGGGAGCTTTGGTGTCATTTCCTTAGGCGGGGCCCCAGTCTTAACAGATCCTGAGCCCTATGCGGGCTCAGCTTGAGGGGACGGCAGGTGGAGTGGGGCGGGGAGCGGGGGGAGGTAAAGCCATCCTTCAGAGCTGCCAGCCTGTGGCAGCGAGATGGTCTCCATGAGGTGGCACCACACAGAGAAGAGGTTGTCTAGAAACAGGACAAGGAGGAAGCAGGTGCGGTCCCTGGGCAGGATCAGGTTTGAGTTGATCATGTGGGCAGGCCCTGTGCCGTCCACAGTGGTGGGGCTGGGAACGGCACTTCACAGGTGAAGAAAGGAAGCTCAGCAAGCACACCCAGGGCAGACACGCTCTCTGAGGCTCAGGCACACAGCGCCGAGGGACAGTGTCAGAGTTCACACTCTGTGCCCCCACATTGGCACCTGCCCCTCCACTACACCGCCTCTGCTCACCGCTGGATGACCCCCAGCCGTTGAGCCTCCCATGGATACAGCCCTGTGCTGGGTTTCATTCTGTTTTTATTCAAAGGGAAAAGAATACCACCAACCAAGACTCGGCCCCTCAGACAGGGGTCCAAGAAGCCCCTGCTGGAGGATGACCTGCAGGCCGCAGAGAAGATCTCATCGGATCCTGTTCCTGAAGAGAGTAAGAGCCTCCCGGGCAGGGTCAGGTCAGGGCCGGCCTGCTCCAGTGCTCAGAGGCGGCCCTTCTCCCCCACCTGGGCACAGAAGAGGAGAGTCCAGTGTGAAGGGACTTTTCCGGGCACCAAGCAGTCCTTCTTGGACCACTGGGCCTGGAGAGCTACCCAAACACCCACCCCCACCTCTGAACCGAGCCACACATCTCCAGCCGGGCCCTCTCCATCTCGCCGCCTGCCCCACGGGGGGAAGGTGCCATTCCTACCTCCCCGCCACGTCTCGAAGGCCCCCATTCATAGGGAGCCAGAGGCCCCACCCTTCCCAGGGTTTCACGCACACTCACTCTGTTCTCCAACCCCCCCCTTCCTCTTTAGTCATTGCCGTGCGCGTGAAGGAAGAACATCTAGACATGGCCACGCCGGACAAAGCCCCGAGTCCAGAGCTGCCTGTTCCCCTCGAGAACATCAAACAGGAGACCGATGACTGAGCCTTCCCCCCTGCCAGCCCGGGGCTCCTCTGTTGCTACCACCCTTCCCCCCTGCTTTAGTTTGGAGACTGAGCCTTTTTGCCTAAGTTCTGCCAGCTGCTGTGAGGGCCGGGCACCGAAGGACCTCTGGCCAGGCCTGCGTGACTGGGGCTGCCCGAGGCCTCCAGATTTGTCTGTGAGCGACTCCTCCTCCAGCTACAGTTCCCAAAGCTCTTCCTCACAGTAACCTCCCTCCACACCCACATACCCCTCGACTGCCGTGGGGTCGAGGGCTGCCCCCAGTCATACTGGAAGACGAGTCCATGAGGTGTGTACGGGTGTGTCCAAGCAAGTCCTGTAACAGGCCTGGAGGTCGGTGGTGAGTGGTGTGGTGCGTGCCTGAAAGCAGCCACGTGGAGCAGCCTCTCCCCTCTGGGCTTGGCGCTCCGCTCCTCCCAGCACCCTAGAGAGGCCAGGGAACCCCATGCGCGCGCCCACCTCTGGCAGGCAGCTAAGCAGCAGTGACCAGGAGGCAGGTTCTGGTGACTTGTGAGGTGACCTTAACCTGGTTTCTTTGTTGGCAAGAGGACTGACCCCTATTTCCTAAAAGGAACAGTGGAATAGAGGTGGGGTCTGCTCCTGGCTAGGGGGCTTGCACCACGTGGGGAGGCTTGGTGGCCGAGGGGCTACAGAGGCGGCAGGACTGGAAGGCGAGGCCAGGGCTATGAGGAGGCCCCAGCTGGACGGGGGACCACCGCCAGCTTTGCGCTTAACCTGCTCTGAGCCCAGCTTGGCTGGGACCTGTCCTTTCACCCCCTTCTCCCTGTTAACCAGGGTCAGGTGCAGCCCTGCCTGAGTCATGGGGCAGGGGAGTGGTCAGCCCTGCTGGCTGAGGTGGCCCTAAGGAAGGGAGAAGAGGATAACAGGACATGCTTCCTGGCTTTCTGTCCCTTACTGTCCATCCTCCTCTCTGAAGTTACATTCTAGAAGCTCCCCTAGTGTCTGCCCAAATTTCAGTAGCTTTTATTTTTCCCAGTTAGTTTCCTTGGAAACGGTCTCTTTCCGTCTCTTCAGTAACTTTTCCTGGAACGTAAGGTGGAGGCAGGCTGCCCTTATTTCTTGTCTTTGGGTGGAGACGCACTGCCAGGTGGGTCCCCGTGTCGTCCTTTAGGGGGTACAGCCGTGCTGCCATGGGCGTCCAGCTACTCTGAGCTGGTCTGTCAGGCTGCCACTGCCCGTGCGTGCTGGGTGGGGTGTGGGGTGCTGGCCGTGCATTTGCTCAGGACCTCTGCTGTTCGGTGTTACCCAGAGATGGGGTGACCAGCCTAAGGGGAGCTGATTTCCAGTTATTTTTTTCCAGAGAGAACTCGATCCTCACTCCTTTACTAAAGGCACTAGAAAGCCCCACATGGTGTAGAACCCAGGCCCAGAAAGTGGTCAGTTGGTGCAGCGTGAACTCCCCCAAACAGTGACTAGATTTGGAACACAGTGAAGATCAAGGACGGGCCATGCCTTCCCCTGCTGTCGCTCACACACGCACCCCAGACCTGGACAGTGACAGGTCAATAACCTCAGCCCCCCTCTCCCCAGGGAAGATGGCCTGGGTACGCATTTGGGCTCACAGTGTACCCGTGGAGCTCTTGCAGGCTCCTGCTCCCAGCTGAAGCTAGTGCCTTGTCCCCAGACCCCTTGCAGTTCGGGGATCCCGTTCTGACTGGAGCTTCTGGGAAAACTGGCCTTGGACGGCATTGTAACCTTCAGTTCCTTCCCCCTGAATGAAGTGAGGCCTGCCTGTGCCCTGATGAGGATGGCAGAGTCAGGGGACAGGCCAGCTGCCATTCCCGCCCTCGACTGGCCGCCCCGGACTTCCTGAAGCCGTTAGTCAGGTTTCTGTTTCTTAGAGCTGAGTGTATTCTCATCTGTCACCTCCTGTGAAGGCTGGGTTCACACATGAGCACAATGAATAAATGGCCTCATTTGAGCGCCCCATCTCCATAGCAACCACACTGTGGGTTACCCGTATTTGCGTCTCTGCCGTTCCTCTCCTGCAAGACCCTGAGCTCCCCAGAGGCCGAGCCCGGGCCTGGTCTGCCGCAGCAGCCTGGTACTAAGCCCCACGAGTGTGTGACCTGAAAATACGTAACTTGTGTTGCTGGGGCCGAAAGATCTTGATTCATCACAGATGGAAGTGGGGGCTTCTGGGAGGTTTCCACTCCAGACACAGGACCAACTTTGTACCTCACTTGCCCTTGGAGAGAACCGGAGAGCTTGGAGTCCAGCCGGGGGTGGGGGGTGCTGCTGGCTATGAGACGTCCTGAACCGTTTCCACTCCCTGTGCCCGCCGCTCCATGACCGGCAGTGGCTCCCTGGTGCAGATTAGACCGAGTGCAAATGCAAACACCTTTCCTTTACTGGCCCCCAGGCTAGACACCGTTCAGCTTCACAGGAACCCCGAGGTACACGTTGACTTCATCTTATCAGAGTTTAGTAACTCATTGGCTTAAATCCACAACTGTTAAATGACAGCAGCGGGATTAAGCCCAGGGCGGTCTGCCGTATTACCACCAGTAGGTACTCTTCTTCATTCAGTGTCCTTCCTGAAGCATCTTCCACATGCCAGACAGCACCACTAGAGGTTGGGCCTCAAAACTGCAATGCATGGGTGCTCCTGCCGTGGCCATGAGCCAGGTGAGCACACCCAGAACGGGACTCAGGGCCCTGTGTGATCCTCGAGGTCAGGGTCCTTTTTTTTTAAAGTAGGCTCCATGCCCAACGTGGATTTGAGATCAAGTCTCATGCTCAAAAAAAAAAAAAAGTCACATACTCTACCAACTGAGCCAGCCAGGCACCCAGGGCCCCTATCAATTCCTTTGTATTCCTGGGAGGAAACTGCCACTTTCAACAAAAATGAAAAACCTATAACCCCAGGGCTAGCATTTGGTGGGCGATCTCCAAGTCCAAAAGGGTGACTGGATGGAACCGTCTCAGATGTCCCAATGCCTGCTGCAGCCAGCATACCACGGGAGTCAGGGTGCGGGGTCTTCCCCTTCATCCAAAGCCCTGACCCGCAGCTGGTGCCGGTCCAGAGGCAGGCTGAGCACTGTCCCTGTCTTACCAGGACCCACTTTTCTGTTCTCATCCTCCCTCTCAGGACTGGCCTCACCTCCCCGTGCCCTCACCGCACAGCAGGGGTTCCCACAGGCAAGGCCCCCGTATCCTGCTCGCCCTTCACTGCGTGCTGCACAGTTTTGCTACAGCCGAGGGCTCAAGGACGCGAACGTAAACGCCAGGCGGGTGATGCGACACCGCAGAGCAGGGCCGGCATGTGGCTGATGAGCCCCGGGAGGCGGCGGCAACAGCGCCTGAGCCTCTGCTCTGTCCCGGGGGTGAGCCAGGCCCGAAGGGGTGAATCAACAATGACCCAACAATGATCCAACAATGACAAGCGGCATTGCTTTTAGGAACACGCTGGGGCCAGGTAGCCTGTGGCTTCTCGGAAAGGCCACTGTCCCAGAGGACGTAGTCATTTCCTCATAAACCCACCTGGGCCCAGCCAGGGGTGCAGGAGGTGAGGAGCGGGGACAGATACTACGGCAGGGAAGCAACAGAGTCATTGCCCAGATGTGGAACCACATGAATTAGGACCGACAGAAGTCAGATCCCTGCTCCCCTGGGCTCTCTGGAACCTGACCCACCCACCGAGGCCTCCCCCCGACCTGCCTCAGGCCAACCTTGTCTGCTGTCCACCGTCATCGTCGTCCCTTCACGCGGGTTCTCCTGGCACCAGACCTGGGGGCAGGCATCCGCTTGGCCTTCCTGGCAGCTCTGCCAGGGCAGGTTTCAAAGATAGCAGTTGCAGCCCTCACCCTCTGGCCATGGGCGCTGGGAGGGGCGGCACAGACGGCCCCCACACGCAGGTTCAGCCCCATGAGCCACCTGAGGAGAGGAGAGAGTTCAGGGACTGAACTCTGAGCCTTCCCGGGGGACGCGAGGAGGTCCTTGGGAACTGGCGGGCAGTGGAGCCTGGTGGGCGAGGGCAGACTCTGGAGGGAATCCCGGCTCAGCCCCTCACCAATTAGGGGACTCAGAATGAGTCACTTCAATTCTCAGATCCCTTCTCTGTAAAAAGGGGATAGTAATAGTAATAAATAGTGACAGAGAGCTCACGGTGCTCCAGACACTGTTCAAATCAATCTATATATGCGAGCTGACAGTGTCATCCTCACGAAGAACCCCCATGAGGTGGACACGGTTCCTTCCAACCCCTTTACAGATGAGGGAATGGCGCAGAGAAGGCATGGGGCCCCAAGTTAGTCGCAGAGCAGGATTGGAGCCCAGCTCTGCTGGACTCCAGGGTTCTTGGTGCTTTCTTATGAAATTAATGAAGTGCCCACAAATATTTATTAGGTCCCACCCCACTAGGCTGTGAGGATTGCATTCCCACGTGATGGGTGAGGGAATCCAGGCCCAGAGAAGTCCACCCCAAGCCCCATGCCCTTCTGGCTCCCTCAGGAACGGCAGCTGGCTCTGGCAGGACCCTCCCCTCCGAAGATGCTCAGCAGGCGCAGCCATGGTGCCCTGGGGAGAGGGTGGGGCTTGACTGAGAGCAGCTGGTGGGTCCCCAGCTTGGGGGGGCCCGGTGAAGGCGCCTACCTGTGCAGCGGGAGCAGCTGACAATCACAGTGGAAGGGATTGCCGCTGAGGTCGATAAGCTCCAGCTGGCTGAGATGGGCCAGGGCAGGCATGGCCTGCAGCTGGTTCTTCTGCAGGTGCAGGCTCTGCAGCCAGGGCCCCAGGCCCAAAAAGGCCCTGGGAGAAATCTGCGAGGAGATGCCAAGCCTTGGTGTGAGCTCCTGCCAGGCCCGTCTCACCCCTAGGCCTGGGAGGTAGCCCCATGCTCCCCCAGCAGAAGGGAAGTGGAGATCCCAAGGTGGCCCCCCAAGAAAGGGCAGTGCGGACCCTGGTTGGTCTGATCCCAAAGCGCCTGCCCTTTGCACGTCACCTGGATGCCCAGCTCATGGTTCTTTCTGCTCTGCCCGAACACGCCCCCATAATGGCAGATCCCCTTGGTGGCTCCAGCCCTGCCCTCAAAGTGCACAAGAACCCCATGGACCCACTTCCTCGTTCCTCCGGGCTCTGGCAGCACCCTCCCTGGATGGCCTCTCTGTGTGGCACTGGAGTCCACCTGGTCTGTCTCCACACCTGAGCTCCCTGGGGGCAGGCATAGGGTCTGGCCTATCCCAGGGGCACCCGGCCCAGCCTCAGGCCTAACTGTGGGGGCAGCGGTGTCTGCCCAGTGAGTGCCTGCTGCATGGGGCTCGTGCTGCCTCCCCCACCCTACACTCCAGCCCCGCACCTGCTCCAGGCCACTGCTGTTCAGGAAGAGGTGCTGCAGTGAGCGGCCCACGGGCCGGAAGGCCCCGTCTGGCAGGGTTTGGAGCGGGTTCCCCGAGAGCTGCAGCTCCAGGAGGGCAGGCAGCCCCTCCAAAGCCCCAGTGGGCACCCCTTGCAGCTGGTTCCTGTCCAGGTGCAGCTTCTCCAGCTCGGGCGCTGGGCCTATTGCCCCGGGGGACACTTGGGTGATGCGGTTGCCGCTCAGGTAGAGCCAGCGCAAGGCTGGCAGGCCTGCCAGGTCCCCAGGTCCCAGGCGGTCCACGGCGTTGTTCTGCAGGTGCAGGGAGAAGAGGCTGGGCAGGGCGCGCAGGGCGGCCCCGGGCACGTGCCGGAAGCGGTTGCGCTCCAGGTACAGGTAGCCGAGGCGGGGGGCCCCCTCCAGGGCAGCGGCGCGGAGGCCGGCGAGCTGGTTGTCCGAGAGGTAGAGGTAGATGAGGCTGCCCAGCCCGGCCAGGGCGCCCGCCTCCAGCTCCGTGAGGCCGCAGTGCTGCAGGTGCAGCGACACCAGCCGGCCCAGGCCCGGGAAGGCGGCTCGCGGCACCGAGGGGAAGTGGTTGCGCCTCAGGTCCAGGAGCCGGGTGTCGCCGGGGAAGCCGCGGGGCACGGCCCGCAGGCCCCGGCCCTCGCAGCCGCTGTGCCGGGACTCGGAGGCGCACACGCAGGCCGGCGGGCAGGGCTGGG